TCGGCTCGCAAACTCTTTAGTACTACATATACTACATAGTACGGAAGTATGCAATTTTTGGACACTGTCCACACTGCAATACGTAAACACCATTTTCAAATGTGTTTTACCTCAGGAAGAGCAGTCAAGTCAGAGCCAAAAAAACAAACAAGAAATGTAGCTTACATGATGTGCCGGCTGAAAGTGTGGGAAGAATGACGGGCCATAATACCAAAATCTTAACATCATCCTAATTGTAAATATACTGGGTGACAAATGTTTAAAATACAACGCATGCTTCAAAAGACCGTGTTGATCTGATCAAAAGCGGACATCGCTAAGTATTTTAAGGGTGTAAGTCAGGGGTGTCCAAACTTGGTCCTGGAGGGTTGGTGTCCTGCAGATTTTAGCTCGAACTTGCCACAACACAGCTGCATGGATATTTCTAGAAAGCCTAGTACGGGGATGTCCAAACTTGTGCCTGGTGGGACGGTATCCTGCATAGTTCAGCTCCAACTTCCTTCAACACTCTAACCTGCGCTTTCTAGTATACTTAGAAAGAGCTTGATTCGCTGTTTTAAGTGTGTTTAATTGGGGTTGAAACTAAAATATACCGGACACCGGCCCTCCAGGACCGAGTTTGGACACCCTTGGCCCAGTAAGAGCTTGATTAGCTAGCCCAAGTGTGTCTGATTGGGGTTGGAACTAAACTTTGCAGGACACCGGCCCTCCAGGACTGAGCTTGGGCACTCCTGGTGTAAGTGGTGGCTGAAATGTTTTGAGCTTGTCCAGCATCACTGAGCTTAGTCGAAAGTGGACAACACATCGAATCAGATTGCTCTTATATACTGACATGCCTGTGATCATATGCATCTTAAGATGAGCTTTAATATATATTAAAGATGCAACACTACAGTCATATTTATTTTTAATGCTGAGTACAAACGCAAACAGGATTAAACTTGGATATAAAATGATAGCTATCATCGGGTTTTGGTGTAATGTATGATGAAATCACAAAACCAAGGATAATGTCATTTATTTTGATGCCTGTATTGGTTAACTGCAGCATTAGTTGGGAATTCTGGGTTACTTATAACTCAATGAGAGTAGAATAAAAGTGTCTGAATCTGAAGCTGCCGTTGTGTTGTCTGTATCTCTTCTCCACTCACTCTAATCCCCTTTCCAGTATTTATCAGAAAAGTGACGAGAACCGGTATTTTCTTAATGTAAGGCTGAACCGTAGAACTTAAGACGCAAACCGAACAAACCTTTTGATAAACCATCCTTCAAGTACCTGCCTGCCTTTCAGTTAGGGCTGCTTCCTGTTTTGAGAATGAGTTTAGAGGATTATTTTTGCAAAATCGATTATTATCAAAGCCGGGAAAGTTAAAAAAAAAATAAGTTCAGTCTCTACCGAGCCAGTTTTTTGTCAAATTATAGAAAACATGTGCTATGGACACTAAGTTTTACAAGCAAATTTCGAGAGGAGCGTGTGATTTGTAATCAGCAGTAACTCAAATCAGATTGATTCAAGCATACAGTAGATAAACTGATTTGACCCTACTGCCTTATCTTCTTTTTTTGTAAGAATCCCCCCTTCCACCCCATCTCCTCCTTTTTCCTCTCTTTACCAGGGGGAGCTTTTGAGACCTACCTGATTTCAGACCCCCATGTATGCTTATTGACCAGGCGGGAGCCTTGGGCTCAATTATCTCCGAGCTCAGGGTTTTCTTCCGGGACAGCATGCCAAACCTGCTAACAGAGTCGAGCAATATCGAAGTGCGAACTCTTGAAAATTACTATCGTATTAGACCAAATCGCCCACGTTCAGACTAATGACAAAGCAAATTGGTAATGCAGAAGAGACCACTTAAGCTGTTGAGACCCTGACTTCATCCATAGATGAAAAGAATAACAAATTTGGAGAAGCAAGTACGCGACTTGCAAGATTATATCAACAATTTGGAAAACCAAGGACGCAGATGCAGTGGTTTTTAGTCATTGGTTTACCAGAAGGGTCTCAGGGCTTAGACACGGTTAAATTATTTGAGAGTTGGATTCCTGACCCTCTTTTAATTACCCCCAAAAGCTGTCCCATTTCGAGTGACTAGTACAGTACGGGTCACCTTTATCAGGCTTGCGTTTCCACGGCCAAAAGGGTACCAATGGTGAGAAAGTGACACCGCTCGCACTTTTAGACAGCCTTGTTAAACAAAAACAGGACACAGCAGATTTTGCTCTTCTTGTCGGTTTGTGGCTGTTCATCAAGACAACAACAAGGGTTGTTTGAGCTCGGGTCGACCATGGCTTGTTATTATATGTACATAGTATTACGATATAATGTCTCGGCTGTTTGTTTTCATTCTCCTGCTTGTGTATGTGCCAGTGATGTTTCTCTGTAAACCAATAGCGCTCAACTTCGCGTCCAGCTCTGCCTTTTGGTACCCGTTTGTCATGCTAAACACCCTTTACAAAGGGTACCCAACAAGAGGTACGGTAGGGTTAGCTTTTTGGTACCGTTCAACAATTGGAAACGGCCATAAAAAGAATTAGGATGCCTGCATTTTGTGGTGCAGATGTAGAGCCAGGGAGATGCGATGTTGATGAGTAGCGTGGGGTTGGGGGACACCTCCATTTCTGGGACATTATAACACATTTACAGATATCAGGGAGTCTATATGCAAGAGGCTACCGGAAGAATTGGGATGCCTGCGTTTTGTGGTGCACGATGTAGAGCCAGAGAGATGCGATTCTGATGGGTAGTGTGGGGTTGGGGGACACCTCCATTTCTGAGACATTATAACTCATTTGCAGACATCAGGGTGTCTGTATGCATATGCGAGAGACTTCCAGAGCTTCTGGAATAATTGGGATGCCTGAGTTTTGTGATGCGAATGTAGAGCAAGGGAAATGCAACATTGATGAGTAGCGTGGGGGTGGGGGACACTGCAATTTCTGGGATATTATAACTCATTAGCAGACATCAGAGAGTCTTTATGCATATGCGAGAGACTCCCGGAGCTTCCAGAAGAAATAGGATGCCTGTGTTTTCTGCTATTTATCCTTCCTAGACATATCTCCCACCTTCTTCCGGCGGCGCGATGGCCCGTGTAGAACCCTGGCCTCTTCCACCACTCCTCTCCAGCCTTCCCAATCCAAAGCCTGCTTTCTCCAAGCATGCACTCTTAAGGTACGTAGATCATCTTCTACGTCATCTGACCACCTCTTTCGTGGCCTACCAGGACGTCTCCTTCCTTCTAGTTTTAGCTTGTATGCTCTTTCAACAGCACTTTGTTCGGGTGTGGTTATATGGTTACTCTTTATTTCCGTGACCAGGCTTGGCTTCGCAAACACGTCTGCCGCTTCTGCATTATTCCTTACCCGCCATTCACCTTGGTCATGCTTCGGTCCATAAATCCTCCTTAGGATCTTCCTCTCCCATGCGTTAAGAAGCCGTTCGTCCCGAGTCCTCAATACCCTGGTTTCACTGGTATACATTACCACTGGCCGCAGTACTGTACGATAGAGTCTTTCCTAGTCATATCTCTCATAATTTCGTTTACAACCATTATCATTTGTACTCCACATTGAGAATTTACAACATCACTGTTGCCTTGAGTCGGGCCAAAGCACGCTTGTCCCCCCTCCTGTCTCCCCCGACGACCCGCACTCACATTACATTCGGGCCTGGGAACGCTTAAGTCATCGATAATGTGCGCTTGCTCAGCACAGCAGAGATTTCTTTAGTTATATCATCGTTTAAGTCATTTCATATGACTTCAATCATAAAGTCCTCGTGTTGCAGGTATTAGGAGGTTTGCTGAAGGTGCGGAGCTATCGGCCATCTTTTTTTTGAGGTTTGCATCTTTAATAAACCACGACAGTTTGCGTTCATTGAACAGTAAGAATGATGAATAAACACATATAAAACAGCCCCTTAAAAGTCAAGTCTCGCTTTGAGTTTCAGACTTTGGTGCGTTTTGCACTCGCAAACAAGCGTACTGTGCCAAAGCCCAAGAGAACCGAGCTCTTGCACACATCTTCCAACCGTGCCTGAGCCTGATTCAGAGCACTCACACTTCTCAAACGATCCGGGAAACGGGCCTGGGCACGGTTCGGAAAGCATAGTGTGAATAGGTCCTAAGAGACAGATGCAGGGCCGGAGCAAGCTGAACTGCCGCTCTAGGCAAAGGACGGTCACGTCGATCTCAAACCTAAAGTGAAACCGGGGAGGTGGGGGGGGGGGTCTATTCTGCCGCCCTAGACGCGGCTTTAACTGAGGCGAGGGTAGTTTAGGTGACGTCACCCTCTCTATTCTGCCGCGCTAGACGCGGATATAACTAAAGCGCGGGTGGCGAGGGTAGTTTCGGGGACGCCACTCTTTATATTCTGCCACCCTAAACGCGGATATAATTGTGGGCTCGGGTGGCGAGGATAGTTTCGGGGACGCCGCTCTCTCTATTCTGCCACCCTAGACGCGGATGAGGGCGAGGGTGGTTTCGGGGACACCGCCCTCTCTATTCTGCCACCCTAGGCGGCCGCCTAGGTCGCCTCTATGGAAGCGCCGGCCCTGGACACATGAAATATGAAAGCAAATAGAATCTCAACAACGTTCATGAAAGTTCTTTCAGCGGGCTCTGTTCATAAGAATTTTTTTTATTTTTTTTAAATGTTAACACATATTAATTATGCCCGATATGCTGATCGGAATCCACTTCAGTTCAAATGTAGGGCTATTTTAGACACGCAACAGTCTGAAAATGTTTGGAGCAACCAGTAACCAGAATGGCTGTACTTGTAGTAAATATAGGAACCTTGGACAAAACAGGCATTGTATGCAATGTTGGTGTAGTAAAGTTCGTTGTTGAGGGAAGAAGAGGACAGGGTCGGCGGTTCAGGTAAGCAAACTGTTTTATTAATTTAGAATGCCACCACACATGTAGCAGGGTGTGTGTGTGTGTGCTCTCTCTTCTTCCGACTGCTCCTCCCGTTCTCCTTAAGAAGGGAGTCTCTCCGGCCCAATCACTAGAAAAACAGGTGTTATTTATCATTTCCGATTGACCTGCTGATTAGCCGCCGGGCTCCGAGCATGCTCTCCCCCCTTATTGGGTGTTCACGCTCACCTCTCCACAGTTGATAAACGGTGCAAATGTATACAGATTTTCCAAGTTAAGTCCCGCAGGATTGCGTGTTTGCATTGACTTAACATGTAAATCCCTCATTGTTTCTCTCTAGCGTGAACTGAAATGTGACTTTTGAGGGATTGCAATTGAATAAATCCCTTTCCACACTGTTGGCAGTGAAATGGCTTCTCTCCGGTGTGAATTCTCATGTGGACTTTAAAATACTGTTTTTGGCAGAAACTCTTTCCACACTCGGTGCATGAGAAAGGCTTCAGTCCGGTGTGAACTCTCATGTGAACGTCAAGTTTCGACTTGTGGCTGAAACTCTTTTCACACTGATCACACGAGAAAGGCCTCTCTCCGGTGTGAATTCTCATGTGCGCTTTGAGGTACTGATTTAGATGAAAACGTTTCCCACATTCGCAGCAGGAAAACGGCTTCTCTCCTGTGTGACTTCTCCTGTGAACTTTAAGGTACTGTTTTTGACGGAAGCTCTTGCCACACTCGGTACACGTGTATGGCTTGTCTCCTGTGTGAATTCTCGTGTGGACTTTAAGGTATTGTTTTTGGCAATAACTCTTTCCACAGTAGATACACGTGTAAGGCCTCTCTTTGGTGTGGACTCTCATGTGGACTGGAAGTTTGGATTTTTGACTGAAACTCTTTCCACACTGATCACACGAGAAAGGCTTCTCTCCAGTGTGAATTCTTATGTGGGTTATAAGGTTGTGTTTTATAGCAACACTTTTTCCACATTGACTGCAGGTGTAACCATCATTAGATCTGGTTTTCCGAGTCTTTTTTGTCATTGTGGTTTGTTCATCGGTCACTGAATCTTGGTTTATCTCAAACTGATCTTTATCTTCCTTTACATTCAGGTCTTGAGTCTCTTCTTTCAGCACCATCAGCTCTAAAACGAAGAGAAATACAGGTAAATCGCAAATTTAAAGGCACAAAGCAACACAACTTGTCTAAGAAATTAAATCGTAGTCAGGATAAATGGACCAAAACCAAACAGAATCAGCATCAACTAATTTCCTCTTTGCCCAGGTTGCATATTAAAGGCATTGAGATGCAGCTTAGACTGTTAAACTGCACTTGGATCAAACCATTGAAACAGGCCAGAGTGCCCTAAGAACAAGTGTCCGGGCGTGGTGCGGTCACAACAGATATTTTCTGGACAGGTTGGGGCACCATCCTCAATTAATAAGCAGTCTTAAGTTTATGTTTGTGTGTTCATACCTTTGACATATTGACAGTGTCTGTTCAGAATTTATTCAATCTTTTTCCTTCAGTTTAGTGTTTATTTCAGAGGTCAACACAGCGGAATAAACCACCAACCATCCCAGCATATGTATGATGCAGCGGATGCCCTTCCAGCCCCAACACAGTACTGGGAAACACCCATTCACACATACTCATACACTACGGCTAAAGCCTGGTTTATACTTTTGCGTCAAGTGACCGGCGTAACCCTCGGTGCATGCAACATGCGTGGCTGTGCATTTATACTTCTGCGCGCTGTCTCTGTTGGTCTGCATTAACACTTCCGAAACGCTAGTTGGCAGTGAGGTGTAAATCTTCCTCTGTGTCGAGTTTCTTCGCTGCTTTTTTGCTTTTCCTGAACACTTCCGGGATGTATAAGTGGCTCAAACTCGCTCATTTTGAGGCAGGAACCGGCGGACGTGCAACAACTTTAACTATGAGGTAAACACAAAACAAAACTTTCCATCCGGAGCTCCTTCACGGGACTCCACACTTGTAAACAATCGCTCGCGCCATTCGCGTGGCTCTCGGTCCCGCCCAGACTCGTCAGCGCTACCAAGCCGACCACAGAGCTTGCGCTACACGTTGTTGCCATGTGTAGTTACATATTTTGATGGCCACGGCGAAGGGCTATGCGTCAGCCCCGTAGCATACGTCGGCGTTTGACGCAGAAGTATAAATCAGCCTTAAATACCCTGCTGAAAAATCCAGCTTAAACCAGCCTAGACTGGTTTTAGCTGGTTTACCAGCCTGGTTTCCCAGCCTGGTCTTAGCTGGTCAGGCAGGAAAATTACCAGCTAAATCCAGCTTGACCAGCCTGGTTTAAGCTAGACATAAGCTGGTTTTGGCTGGACTCCCAGCCTGGCTATGCTCGTCAAGCTGGTTTTCGCTGGCCATCCCCCAGCCTGACCAGCTAAGACCAGGCTGAAAATGGCTGGAAACCAGCCTGGAAATGGCCAAAACCCCTCTAAAACTAGGCTGGTTGACCAGCTGAAACCAGCCAAACAGCCTAGGCTGGTTTAAGATGGATTTTTCAGTAGGGTAGGTTTATTCAATTCCCCTATAGTGCATGCCTTTGGACTGTGGAGAAAACCGGAGCACCCGGAGGAAACCCACGCCAACACGGGGAGAACATGCTGACTCCACACAGAAATGCCAACTGACCTAGCTAGGACTTAAACCAGCGACAAACAAATCATCATGTAGAAATGTCAAATATCCAGTGGCCTTGAGGTTTCCATTGATGAAGAATGACCCCACTATCTTTGTTGTCTATGGTGTGAAGATACAAGGTGTGCAGCACCCATCTTGAAATGTTTGCCCCCTCCCATAAACTAACGTGCAACAAACAGGACGTTAATATCAGCAACCATTCCCATTTTATTAAGGTCCATATAAATGGCCCACCCTGTATGTTGAAATCAACAATTCAACTTAATACTAGCAATTTCAATAACTAATTAGTTAAGCTTCTTACTGATTAATATGCTTGAAATATGTAATTTGAGAGAGAAAATCCACCTGTTTGTTCCTCTGGATCTTCCTGTTTCACAGTGAATGTGTCTTCAATCTTCAGGTCTTCACTCTCCACTTTAATAACCGCCATCTTTATAACAGTGTGGAGATCAGTCGCTTTCAGCAGGAGTTTTCCTCAGTGTTTGGACACTTTGTCCTGTTTAAAATGAGAACAATGAACAGTGTTAGACCACTATCTCCATGCCAGATAAATACGATCCAGCCCCGGACGCCAGATCTTGACGGAAAATGTCTCTCCAGGAATATGGACAAGAAGTCAGCAGAGTTTCTAATACCTGCTATCCAGTATTCAACTGAATTAACAGTCTACAACAGTATAGAACACCAGAGAAGAGCAGAAGCAGGAGACTCAGTAATGATGATTAACAAAGAGCAGAGTTTACTGAATAATCCAGGGTTCCTACACATTTTTACTGCTGAAATTCCAGGACTTTTCCAAAACTTCCAGGTAAATATTCGTGACCTTATGTTTCACGTAATGTGGTAAATAGGAAAAAATGCGTGTTCGTATTAATTACAGCATATCAAAAAATATGTGGCAGTCTATGTAGTTGTTTATTTTATACCTGTAAAATAGTTTTTAGAAAATATAATTTTTTTTTTTTTTAGAAATGTTGGCTTCTCAAGACTTATTGAATTAGCACAAATTAGCACCCACATTGTCTTACCTAATTAGAGATTGTTTGTGTACATGACACTCAAAATGTATCTTGAATTACGTTGAATGCAGGTGAAAGAGAGGTGAAGCTGAAACTGCAAGTTGCTTTTTATTGCCCCACACAGAAAATGTCACGTGAAGGGATAGACATCTTGTATTTGAAATTTAACCAGTGTCATTCATTCATTCATTCATTCATTTTTTTGGCATAGTCCCTTTATTAATCTGGGGTCGCCACAGCGGAATGAACCGCCAACTTATCCAGCATATGTTTTATGCAGTGGATGCCCTTCCAGCTGCAACCCATTTCTGGGAAACATCCACACACACTCATTCAAACTCAGCCAATTTAGTCGACCCAATTCACCTGTACCACATGTATTTGGACTGTGGGGGAAAATCGGAGCACCCTGAGGGAACCGACGCGAATGCAGGGGAGAACATGCAAACTCCACACAGAAACGCCAACTGACCCAGCCGAAGCTCGAACCAGCGACCTTCTTTACCCAATGTTATCATCTCAACTATATTCAAGTACACAGATATTTGTTAAGCGAGTTTCCATGAATTTTCCCAAAACATTTTGGGTTTATTTATTTTTTCAAAACTTTTCAAGGCCTGGAAAAATGCCTTGGCGAAATTCCATGACTTGTCCTGGTTTTCCAGGACCGTATGAACCCGGATAATCTTAGTTGTGTATGATTCAATGCTCAGACTTCGTCTGACCAGGATAAATCCAACAAGTGTTATTATACCACAAGCACCAGCAATGGAAAATGACTGCTTCACATCATTGTCCAGAGACAGCACAGACCTTGAAATAAAGACATTCTCTTATTCTCTTACTCATGAAAACGAGTGTCGCTTGAATCCACAGTCGTAACATTATAACAATATGGAAATAATAATGAAGCAATAATTTTAGGAAAATAATGATAATAAACTATAAAATGACAAAGAATAACTATATATTAAAGTTTGTGGACAAACTTTATGGTGGCTTGAGAAACCAAGTAGTTAAGTTTGCTTTTAGCACGTTTCTAGCATGAATTAGCATGTTGTTACCATGATTCTAGAATAAATAGTCATGATATTTGCATAACTCTAGCATGTTACTATCATGACTCTAACATGAATCAGCTTGTTTGCATGAATTAGCATGTCACTAACGTGCTATCATGTTTCTAGGAAGATTAGCATGTCAGCAGGACGTTAAAACTGCTAGCATGTGTTAGAATAGCTAGTCACAGTCTACAGGACGGTTGCTAGGGAGTGGCTAGTAAGTAGAAAGGTCATCAGTAGTAGGCTGCTGACTAGACTGAGTTGAATGAGGACAGGCTCTAGTCTGTAGGACAGTCTAATGCCGAGTTATAAGCTCACAAAGGTTGATCCAATGTTAAGTCAATGGGACTTTTGGGAAATTTCTGGGTAGTTTTTCTGAAAGCTTGAAAGGCTTATGAGGAGATACACTTTAAAATTTGTCTCAGAAGACGGAGTAAGAAGTTTATTTAGAATATCAAAATGGTGGCTTTCTCAAGCCATCATATTAATAATCAAATCAATAACTAATGATAATCATTAAAATGCTAATTATATAAATGACTAAGGATCATGTGATTAAATAAAATATCCACAATCTGTGCACTACCAAGGTAGAGATGATGACCTTATGTAACGGAGGCCAGCTAGTAAAGTGCTGTGCAGGTAAACCTCACTCCTCTGACCTCTAAAGGTGCTCTAGCGACAGACACCAGAGGCCATGGTCTTTAGCCTTCTTGGTAGAGCACCCGATGGGGATGGCTGATGTGAAACTGACGTTTTGACACTGTGTCGAGATCCCGAAGCGCAAGTGTTTCGAAACACTGCACCAAGTGAGGGTGTCATGATCCACCAAGGGACCAAGGGTAATAAATGATACATTGCTGCATCTTCTGCCATCTTTGGGTCGTTTTCACACCACACTGCTGGCTTTGGTCCGAACCAGTTGAAACGAACCAAAATGCAGTCATCTGACAAAATCCACATCTCTCATTGGCCAGATGTTGTTGAACATATTTTCTAAGCTGCTTATTGATTGGTCAGAATTCACGTGCGGGAAAATGCCAGTGAACTCCCGCAAGTAAACAAAACCTTCTACTCTGGAGGGACGACTGCGCTGGCTAATTGTATCCCTGCTTTAGACAAACTATACATTACGAGAATGAAGCACGGCCGCGGCTGGAAAACAGTGTTTAATGCATCGCACATC